TGGAGGTCTACATTGGAGTCTAAAGGCCTTCGTTTAAGTAGAACTAAAACTGAATACATGGAATGTAATTTTAGTAGTAATAGCTTTAGTGACAGAAGTGTGACTTTGGGTGATCAAATTATTAAAAGGTGTGAATGATTTAGATATCTTGGGTCCGTTGTCCAAAGCGATGGTGAATTAGATGGGGTTGTTAATAGTAGAATTCAAGTTGGTTGGTTGAAGTGGAGGAATGCTTCGGGCCTTTTGTGTGATAGAAAAGTACTGTTAAGACTGAAAGGAAAATTTTATAAGACTGTGGCGAGACCTGCAATGCTCTATGGCGCTGAATGTTGGCCTTTAAAAGAGAAGCATAATAATAATTTAAGTGTTGCCGAGATGAGAATGATTAGGTGGATGAGTGACTTTACGCTTAGAGACAAAATGCGAAATGAATATATTCGTGATAGGGTTGGTGTAGCTCCTGTGACAGACAAAATTCGAGAAAGTCGTCTTAGATGGTTTGGTCACATTAAACGTCGACCATCTGATGATCCGATTAGGAGAGTAGATGTTTTAGATTCGACTTGTGTTAAGAAAGGCAGAGGTAGACCTAGGAAAACTTGGGCTTATTGTATTAAAAATGATCTTAATTTACTAGAACTAAATGAAAATATGACACTAAATAGGACGCAGTGGAGAAAAAAGATTCATGTAGCCGACCCCACGTAGTGGGATTAAGGCTTTGTTGTTGTTGTTGTTGTATTAATAGCTAATCACGAGCAATCGTAAGGTCACCGACACCCTTGAATACATTTGAATTGAATGTCTGAAAGTTCTTCAAGTGCCGATCAACTTCTGTCTCATGTTCATATCTGGGCCATTTACTAGTGGACTACCTTTTAGTAACAGTCATTTTGTCAACCACTTGTGATATCAATTGAATAATGCCTTGTAACTTATTGACTACGCCTAGTCTTATTATCGTTTTGTTCAAGAAATTTCGGCTCGTACTTCTAGCATCGAAAGTAGCCTAGGAGACTAATTTTCTTGCATTCTGCTGCGATTCTATTCAGCTTCCATATGAAAGTTTGTGTTTTATCTCAGTCAAATCATTTTGTTTTCTCTTTTCAACCACCACGTTTCTGTGCTCCATTTCCCTGCTGCTTTCCAGTATGCATTGGAGCTTTAGTGAACTTTTGTATTGCTCTTTCGAAATTACTTTATCTTCTATATACTTTCCTTGCACTTTTCATTGATGTGTTTTTCGGTTGTGCATCTTACTATTTAGCCTCTGTTTTTTCTTTGCTGGCTTTCCTTTTCTCTTGTTTTTTTTTTTGCACCATCTAGCAATTTAATTAATGCATTTTTCTTATTGAGTATTTTCCTGCTTGAATAATATGCACCATCTAGCAATTTGATTAATGCAATTTTCTTATTGAGTATTTCCCTGCTAGCTAATTATTCTTTCTCTTATTGATAAATTAATTGGCGGTGGGAGTTTCATTATTTCATGTTTCATAGACAAGCTGCCATTTCTGGATGGGTAGTCGAAGTGGCATGGTGTAAGTTAGCACATTTTTACCTCAATTTTTTTACTGATCTGTACATGTGGTTGGATGGGGATTTTGATAACTGGATTATAATTTTCTTTCTGCATGGCACTCACAACATTTCACCTAATTTAAATGCCATTTGTCTTTTTCTATTTGAAGCAGGAAATCGCAATAAACACCCCGTGTCATGTTTCCCTTTTAAAACACTTTTTTATGTTCAAACATATATGAAAATTACCAAAATGCATTTCAGTTATTACAATCGGCCGTAATGGACTAAAAGCCACAATCTTCTTTTGTCTTTGGCTATGTGGTGGTGGACATTCGATCTGAAAAACTTTTACTTGATTTTTGAGCAAAATACATCAACTCGATCCAAATGCTTATAACTTTATTCCTTCACTTGCAATATGATTCGAATTTTCAAGTTTTAGGTATCAAAATATTAGGTTTTCTTTTGGACTAGTTCTCTTAATGCCAAGTGCTTTATTTGGATCGCTGATTGAAAATTTTTAGAATGTTTTACACCCTTTAGCCTATCCTTCTTCTCAGGAACTAGCTAGGGAACTGGAGAATGATACAAATATAACAGATCAAGAAAGGCGGTCAAATGTCCAATCTAGTGCATTCAGGACTGGATTTTTTCTGCAGAACCTTGGCTCTTTGCTTCTTGAGCTCGGTCGCACTACCATGACACTGCGAATGGGACAAGTTCCCGTAGGTTTCATGGCTGTTATATATGCGCCTTAAACCTTTATTTTTTTGTTGTTATCCTTCATGCTCTTTAAGATTAATGTTTGCAGTCTTCTTTTAAAAAAAATCTAGGCTGAAGCTGTTGTTAATGCTGGACCTGCTGTTTTTATATCAGCATCAGGGCCAAACCCTGTAATGGTGCAGGTTGTATACCTTTATCCAGTTAAAAGGGTGATATTCCCGTTATTATTATTTATTTTGAACCCATATTGTTTTTTGCAGCCTGTTCCTTTTTATCCGGCGGCACCAAGTTTTGGTGGGATGGACATGGGATCAACAAATTCAGGTCATGGACCAGAAGGTGAAAGAGTTGGTTCTGCACTTTTTCCTCGAAATATTGATATTCGAATCCATGCAGGTACTATAAATCATAATACTATGCTAATGCTCTCTTGTGTCATTATGATCCTGGTATCTTGAAGAAATTCTTTCTTATTAGTCAGCCGTGCAGTTCCTGTTCCTTCTGCCAGCCAAAGTGGACCGGGGGATGCACAGCCACAACAAGGAAATTCAGATTCAACAAGCACTTTAGCAGATGATGTTTCTGTTCATCAGCCAGTTCAAGCTCGCCCAAACAGTGCAACTTTGACAAGAGAAATTGGATTAAGAGTTGTTCCTGTAAGAACAGTAGTAGCAATGCCTGCTGGAATCAGCAATTCACAATCCAATTTATCTGCCAATTTAGTTCCATTGCTGCATCCTTTAATCACCAGGATCCAACAACAAAATAGTGGTAGTGTAAATGATGCATTGAGTGCTCAAGCATTTCCTTTTAATCAGGGCGGTGTTGAAGCCAATCAAGAGTCTTTTCCTGATTCCGTGAGGCAAATTTTAGAATCTTATGTTGGGGGTTTTGTACAGGAGACTCAGGCTCCATCCTACACCGTGCCAATGGCCTCTGGGTCAAGTATGCCACCAGCTGCACAAATTGAGCGTCAAGGTCAGTGTGGCAATCATAGTTTCAACTTGAAATATGCTTTAGCGAACATTTTGTGACAGCAACTTGTTCTTACATGTCAGGTTTGATAATTCATAATAGGACAGCTATTACAAAATACTTCAAAAATTTGTGCCTTTCTCCTCAAGATTTTGAAGATACAGTGCTTGATGAAATTGTCGTACCGGATATTTGCAATGCGAGAAAAGTGACAAAATGTCCCCCGACTATTTACATGTCATTTCAATCACAGACTTCACAGACTTTGAAAGAGTGCCAAAACTCAAAAATCATATTTATGGTGTTATAAATAAGGCTATTCTTGGAATTTATGTTTTCCTTTTAATTTTTCAATAAATATGATTTAATACTAACCTTTTTTTATTTCCATTGTAATGAATTCACGAACTCCTTATTTGTTTCTTGATATTTTAAAATTTAATCTACATATAGATTTCATTATTTCTTGATTGTTGTATGCTATGCATAAGTATGATTATTTAATTTTATAAATTTAAATGACAACAACAACAACGACAACAAAGCCTTAATCCCACTACGTGGGGTCAGCTACATGAATTCTTTTTCTCCATTGCGTCCTATTTAGTGTCATATTTTCATTTAGTTCTAATAAATTAAGAACATTTTGTTATACAATAAGCCCAAGTCTTCCTAGGTCTACCTCTGCCTTTCTTAACATAAGCCGAATCTAAAACGTCTACTCTTTTAATCAGATCATCAGATGGTCGGCGCTGAATGTGACCAAAACATCTAAGACGACTTTCTCTAATTTTGTCCATCACAGGCTACACCAAGCCTATCACGGATATATTCATTTGGCATTTTATCTTTAAGTGTAAAACCACTCATCCACCTAATCATTCTCATCTTGGCAACACTTAACTTAGTATCATGCTCCTTATTTAAAGGCCAACATTCAGCGCTCTAGAGCATTGCAGGTCTAACCACCATCTTACAAATATAAAATTTTCCTTTCAGTCTAAACGGTACTTTTCTATCACACAAAAGGCCTGAAGCATTCCTCCACTTCAAACAACCAACTTGAATTCAACTATTAACTTCCTCATCTATATCACCATCGCTTCGAACAACAGACCCAAGATATCTAAATCGTTCACACCTTTTATTAATTTGATCACCCAAAGTTACACTTCTGTTATAGAGCTACTACTACTAAAATTACATTCCATGTATTCAATTTTAGTTCTACTATAATGAAGGCCTTTAGACTCCAATTTATACCATTATAATTCAAGTTTTTTCTTGGCTTTTTCTCTCGTCTTATCCACAAGAAGGATATCATCAGTAAAAAATATACACCCCTTCGGGAGGTGCCCAGAAAGACCATCCATAACCAAAGCAAAAGGATATGGGCTTAAAGTGGATCACTGATGTAATCCAACAGAAATAGAAAAATATAATGGAGTCATAATAACATGCTTTTTGGCTGGGATGAATTCAGAATGATATACATTGTATGATTTCAGGCATGTGAGGCATAAGCTGGTTGAGAAGTCTGAGGAAGACTGGTCCCCCACCCTTCCATGAGGGGTTGGTTTGGTGCCCTAGATAGGAGATCCTCCTTATTCTCTCTAAACTTTTCCATTAAGCCTCTCAATAAATGTATAGCTTCCAAAGTAGACCTGCCCAACACAAATCCAAATCGATTATGAGAAATCTTTGTAATATGTCTTAGCCTTTGTTTAATTACCCTCTCCCATAATTTTAAAGTATGACACATCAACTTATTTCCTCTATAATTTGCACACTCTTGTGCATCCTCTTTATTTTTAAAAGTGGGGACCAAAATACTCTTCCTCCACTCCTCATGCATCTTTAAAGTTTTCAAAATAATATTAAAGAGTATTGTAAGCCAAGAAACTTCCAATCTCCTAAATATTTCCACACTTAAATTGGAATATCATCAGGTCCTACAGACTTTCCACCCGTGGTTTTCTTTAAATCCTCATCAACTTCTTTTTTATTAATGAAATATTTTATTATTATTAACGATATTAAGATGACTAAGGTCGATCGTATTTTCCAAAACTTCATTAAAATGTTTATGAAAATAACTCACCCACATATGTTGAATATCTTTTGCTAAGCAAATCACTTTTTGATTAATCTTTAATACACTTTACTTGAGTAAAATTTTTACTTTTATTTTCTCTTTGTTTGGCTAGTTTATACATATATTTTTCACTCTCCTTAGTATCTAATTTATTGTAAAGATCTTTAAAAGCGGAATTTTTAGTGTCACGGATTATTCTTTTAAACTCCCTGTAGTCCGTTTGATATTTTCTCAGTTCTCTAAACTCTTACAGTTAAACCAATTTTTATAACTTAACTTCTTATATTTTATCTTTTCTTGCACATTATTATTCCACCACTAACTATTTTTATTTTATTCATTATTATTCCACCACTAACTATTTTTATTTATAGAAACATTTTCTTTTGATTCTTGAAGTACATCTTTTGCTACTTATTTAATAGTGTTTGTTACTTTATCCCACATATCATTTGCTAATTCATTAACACTCAAAATTTTAAAATCTTGAATTTTACTCATAAAAATAATTTTATTTGTCTTTTAGGTTCCCCAATCTGATTTTACGATAATGAATTATATTAGTCTTTATTTTACAATTTTTTATCTTAAAATTTAGAACTATTAAATTATGTTGGATACTTAAATCCTTTACATTCTCGACGATCTCTTCTTCTCATAAGAAAATAATCAATTTGTGTTTTATTAGATATGTTCTTATAAGTAGTAAGATGCTTATCTCTTTTCTTAAATAAAATATTAATAATAACAAAATCATGCGCTAAAATAAATTCTAAAATAGCTTTACCTTTTTCAAGAGTCACTAAAAAACCGTAGCCACCATAAATATTTTTGAAATCTTCTATCACTCTATCGACATGTTCATTTAAATCTCCTCAATTAAAAATTCTTTCTTTAAAATGTATCATTTGGATTAAGTTTTCTAAGTCGTTCTAGAATTTATCTTTAAACCCTATATCTGAACCTACTTGAGGAGCTTAAGCAGTTATAATATTAAAACTCTTAGTATCAATGATAATCTGAAGGGCTATAATTATATCTTCAACTATATTAATTTTTACAACATTATCATTTAAACTCTTATCTATAATTACACCACCATTTCTAGTGCGTCTACTACCAGAATACCAGTTTAAAACCTAAGTTATTAATCTCCTTAGTTTTTTCTTCAACCCATTTAGTTTCTTGAATACATAAGATATTAATTTTTCTACGAATCATAATATCAACTAATTGCATTAATTTACCATTGAGAGTACCTATATTCCAAGATCCTGTTATAATATTAATTTCATTAGTTTCATTGACTAACTTATTTACCAGCATCTGTCCGTAATGTGGGAATCCTTGCTTATTTGACACTACACCTAGGCGACAATGTAGCGGCGCTTGCACACTTTTCACTATTTTCAGGCTATACACAGCGTCGCTTCCAGGGGACACCCTAACACTTACACAATGATCAAAATGATTCATGTCATGATTTTTCGACAAGTTTTACGGAGGTTGTCGACTACCTAAGGCAACCCTCCACTTTTCACATTCGGGTTTGTGCCCGGCAATGACAGTGTTATAAATTTAAATGACTAAAATATATTCTTTAAAAAAAACTCAAATATATTATACATGTTGCTTATTATCATATACTTATAAAAATTACATTTTAGTTTTTTTTTTGAAATAACTAAAAATATATAATATGAAAATTTTAATATCTCATCATCAAAAAATAAAAGTTCATGAATTTCATTACAATCGAATTATAATAGGGTTACTAATGAATTTGAATTATTCAAAAATATAAGTTCCAAGAATACCCCTATTTTTAAAACCCTAAACAAAATTCTATTAATTTTAATTGTGGGACTGTAGCAATAGCTACTAAAAGGGTTGGTGGACCATTTTGACATTTTTTCAATGTATCGGACTGAAATCGCCCATTGCAAATGATCTGGGACCATGTCGACACTTTTCTTTTTCCTTTGTTATAAATAGTAGCTTTAATTTACCTTTTTTAGAATTATATTTGGCTACAAACTTTATTATGTTGCTTTAAGTTTTCGCTCATTAATTGAAACCTTTGAGATACTTTGTCGTTCTAGTTATCATCAATTCGTTGCATCTATGTTTCTCTTGATTTTAGCATTATTCTTTTTTCTCTTATGTCGTGTCTGCCTTAAAGCTTAATTGTTTAGAAAAGCTCATCAGCCCTGTAGACTAACTACCTGAAGTCAAAGTACGCCAAAATTATGGTTATAGTCGAAATTCTTTTTTAATTAAATTATTTTTTTTAGGTGTTTACTTTCTTGGATCATACTATATTGAAAGATTGAATATGATTGGATTTTGCATGTAAGCATTTGATCTTTTTTTCCTTACCTTTTTTCTATAAATAGGAATCTATGATGAACATTGAAATTATTATTATTATTATTGAATGAAGTTATTTGTGACCAATTGAGTGCTTTCTAGATCCATACTCTGATACAAAATTTTATTTGAGGGAAAAAGAAAAAAAAAAAGAACAGCCACATTTGGTTTGGAGTGATTATTATTCAAATCTTAGACTTAGAAAGCACTTAATTGGTCAAATTTTATTCATTCAAGAATAATAATTCCATTATTCATCATGTATTTTGATCTACAGAAAATTGGTTACAAAGATAAGACCAAACTTATGAATGCAATTTAATCCTATCAAATCCAAGAAACACTTTTAATTTAAAAATATTCTAATTCAAAAGGGAAAAAATTTAATAAAATTATTGAAATAAAAAAACAAGTGAGAATTTGATTGATAAGCTTGAAAACTAGTTTGACTCTAATTTAGTTTGGCCTGATTTTAAATTAGGTAATTGCTCCATGGTCACTTGGTGTGTTCTACATGCTAGATACACCACTAATGTTG